AAATGAGGATTTTGATAAATCACAAGAGAAAGTGTTAGAGAATTGAGTAATGACTCAATTATCCTGTAGGTATAGCACATGTTTAGTTTACGCTTTGTTTATTGCCATGATTTATAAGTGTGTATTTAAGTTACTATTTTATTTGTTTTGAAACATTTAATAAATTATGGTATGTTAGATCCTCTGAAATTATTTTTAAAAAATTATTTTCTTTGATTTTGAGTTGAGTTCTCTTTTTTTTCTTCTTATTAAAGTCTCTTTTCTTTTCTTTTTTTATATAAAAAAAATGGTTGTAGGCTTGAAAGCCTCAATTGTTTTATTGGGTCCTAGTGTCTACCTGGCAAGTTTTTATTAGCAACATATGATAATTTTTATTTATAAAAATAATATTGTTACAACTATAGTCACTTAAATATAAGATTTTGAATTTAAATATGTGTCAATGAAAAAAAAAGTATTTGAAAAACTGTCTTCAATTAGATTTGACGGTGCTCAAATATGATCTAATTAAATTAGTCATGTCAAAAGCTATTTTTTTGAAAGGAAATATGCTTTTCAAATTTGTTGCAAATGAAAAAAACAATCAAGCGCCGGGCCCTATTTTTCTCTCTACCTTTTTTATCGTCCTTTTCACTCATCAAATTTTTTCTTCTAGTTCAAACAAAGCAAGTTTTCTCACAAACTTGATACAAAGTTATTATCCTACATGGCATCCGATCTGATATTCGATGCGGCATCCAAGTTGTCGTCCTAAGTGGAAGCCAAATTGTATATGGCAACCACGATGCCATCTTGACTCAACAAAGATAATGTCTATGTTAACTAATAGCACGGTATTGAAAGTCAAGTCATTCAAGCGAAGTAATTAGTATGTAAAAGAACAATAGAAGCGGAGAGAATTTGTGGGTCTCTATAAGTTGCATTTGGAGTCCATATACCAACATATTGAAAGTCCAAGCGTATATTTGTAAGCGGCAAATTGAGCAACAATCTTGAAAATTTAGTTTTGAATGCATGTCATAATGTATCATGAGAATTAGAGAAGGCTTGTTTGAGTCACACTAATTATTACTTGAAAATCAATTCAACTATATTCATTTCGAGACATGACTTTGTGTTATTTTATCATTTGACCAGTCTCTACTCTTTAGATAATCAAGAAAGATTTGAAGGACTATATAGACAATTTGAATTAAGCTGTTTTTTAATTTATAATTTTAAGGATTAGTGGTTAATTAAATGGCCCTGCTCAAATAGAATAATTAAAATTTCTTTTAAATAAAGGTTTTCAGAGTATTTCTAAACCCAACACTTCTTATGTAAACATTATTCTCAACAAATGAATACTCCTGGCCAAAAAAAAAAAAAAACAAATGAACACTCGCATGCTTAACAAAGACAAGGAAGTATATTGTTGGTGATCTGTACGTATATGTATAACGTTTTTTGAACTTGGACACATACTCTAATATTAGTAAACTTCCTAAACTCAATCTTTCTAAAAATTTTTAACTGAAAAAAAAAGGACAAATCTAGATAGTCTGGACCAAGTGGTAACCTTGTGAATTTGGGCCTTTTGTTCCAATAGCACAAAGTTACAATTTTATTTTCTTGCTCCAACAACCCAATATTGATCAACAAGAGAATTGTTTATCAAAAAACAAACAAACAAGAGAATCAGGAATATTTTCCCTTTTTTAAAAATATTTTAAAATAATTATATTAAAATTTTATATAAAAAAATTAATTATTACAAGACTCATTAATAACTGAATTCAATGCCAATTAATTATTAATGACGTTTAGTTCAGTTGTTAATAAATTTATAGTAATTAATTCTCTTATGTGAAATTTGATTATAATTCTTCCAAATATTTTCAACAACCAATACACTTTTCTTACTTTTTATTCTATATTGCACTGTTTATTATTATTCTTTTATTTTAATTTTACCCAAAGAAAAAAATAAAAGAACTTCTTATCTTAAACGAGACTTGAAATTTCTCTTCCCCTTCTATTGATTCGAGTGTAAAGGAATTATAAAATTTTAATAAAGAGAATATGTGAATTAAAAGAGTACAAAAATTAATTAAAATCCTTTAACCCCATTTTTTAATTTTTTAAAAATTAAATTTATTAGAATCTCTCCCTCTCCTTATCAACCGAATTGAATCTAGCAAAAAGAACTAATTCTTCATAATATGATAAACTAATATTTAAATTCTCATTAAAAAAGCATATTATCTTAAATATAATTGCTTCTAATAAAATGACAATAATTAAAAAAAAGTCTCTCCTTGCTTTCATTCTCCTCCAAGCAAACATGGCGTTGGAATGTGACACCTCTTTGTGCACTGAATTCGTTGCTTGATTTAAAAATTGTGAAAGGGAAATGCTATAAACAATTGATTTGCTAGATTTCAACACTTTGATGATATTTATAAAATCATGGAGGCACGTCAAAATGTCCAACAGCTACCACCATTATAGTTCGAATTGACACTCATGTGAAGATTCTTTACTCTATTTAGCGGTGGATTAATATGTTATATTATTTGAGCCTTCCATCTCAATCAATCACATTTTATATTTTCCCACATACATATTTTGTTTTTTTTAATGCCATAATGTTGACTCATATAATAATCATTTCATATATGAATAAATAACTTTACATTTAGTTTCTGCCTATGATTTCACAAGCTTCATTATTCTTAGATTTTACATTTTGTTTTTAATGTTATTGCGTGCCAAATAAGAAGAAGATGAAGAAAATATTGCTCATATATATAATGTTTCATCATTTCATAAATATTGAAATTACTCAACATGAAAGTTAAATACTATGTTATATATATGTGTGTATATATTTATATATTTAAAACCCCCGTATTGATATTCGAAGTTAAACTTGAGGTGTAGTTCAAAAGAAAAAACTTGAGGTGCTTTAATTTAAAGAGATCAAAAAAAGTTTACCCAAATAAAGTTGTCTGAAAATGTAAAGGATTTAGATCCCAGGAATTTTGTAAGGAACCGAAGACCCAAAAGTTGATCATGGCCCAGCCCCGTCATCTAAGGATGAAATTTCTCTCAATTTCCTTTTGTTTTCATGGTCCAAATACGTGTTCGCTAAACTTGTCAAGTCTACTATCAAGGCCAAATTTAACAAAATGAGTTACTCATTCATAATATAATAATTTAAAATTTAATTTTTTTTTAAAAATGCACTCACATTTAATACACAATATTTTCTCAAATAATATGTCTTTTATTAAAATTTAAATTTTTCTTAAAAAAATGCTTACATTTAATAAAAATCTTTTTTCAAATAAAATGTCTTGTAATAAAAGGACACTTATAAATAATAAAAAAACATGTCAAGTTAAAGAAAAACAAAATATATTAATAAGATTTGGTTTGAATTGGTTTAGATTTTTAAAAATATAAAAAAAATGGAAATCAAATTAATTAGTTATGCCAATTTAAAAACGAAGATTAACCTAACTAAAAAATCAACTTTAGTCAATTTATGTAATTGCTTGCAAGTAAGGAACAATAAAAATTAAAATCATATCACTATGTTGGTAGTTTCGCCAAGTTATATGTAAAATATTAAATAGAGGTTAATATTTTATAAAAAGTATTTAGCTGAGATTTTATAAAAATTTCTGGATAATTATGAAAAAGTAATTTAGAGGTTTATAAAAAGTATTTAGCTGAGATTTGATAAAAAAATTAAAATTGTTTACCATTATTTATGATTAAAAATAAATGATTTTCAGATAATTTAAAAATTTCATGAAAAGAAATCTATATTATAGAGATTTTATAAAAAATTATTATTATATATTTAATTACCATAAAAAATTATTATTTAGTTATTTTTAGATTTTATAATATCTGTATAAATTTTTATTTATAAAAAGATCTATTATTCAGTAAAGTTAAAATTTTATTATATCATTATATATATTGGCATTTTTTTTTTGATATCTTCCAACATCTATTACTTATATTATTTTTAAGCTTAAAGTTGAGTACAAAATTTTTACCTCCAAAAAAAATAATTAGAATACTTTTTCAGATTTTAAATATTTTCAAAAATTTGAAAAAATGTCATAATTTTTTAAAAACAAGTGACTTTTTAAAAAAAAACTTAAATAATTGGACTATGTTTGGTCCAAATAATAAAAAATGATTAGATTTTTAAATTTTATAATATATTCATGAAACTTTGTTCATAAAAAATGATTTAGTATTTAATTATACTAAAATTTTATGATATTTTTATGTATATTTTATTTTTATGACATTTATCTCATTCATCGAATCATTAGTTAGACAAAGTAACTTATCAAAATATTAGAATTTATTTAATTCTAATTATTTTTAAAATTTTAAATAACACTACACAATTTCATAAAATAGTTTTTTTAAAAATTTATTTTTTATGAAGAAAATGTTTAACAAAATTGCCTTTTATCTCGCAAAAATTATCTTAAATCTCTGTGGATGTGGCAACTTGAGTTAAGTCTGACAAGTTAGTCGGAAGAAGATTGAAAAATTTGAAGATTGAATTTAAAAGTTAAATTTTTTTTTATTTCAAACTTATTTGAATCCTAGATGAGCTTAACACAAATATTTAAATTTTTTATTTGTTATTAATAAAATAATATTAAAATAAAATAAAATTAAATTAAAATTAGTTAAAAATAAAAAATAATATTTAATAATTTAAATATTTGAACCAGCTTGAATAAATTTAAAAATTTAGGATATTAAAATAAAGTTAAATTATATGAGTTTTTTTTATATGTTTGATTATTTTAAATTCGATTCCAAGAAGTTTAGCCGGAATTAAGCGTCCAAATAAGACCTGCACACGTAAATCTCTTTATCTGGTGGGCAACCTTAATTTTTTTAATGCCGAAACTATCCCTGTACTGTTTGTTTAATTAAAACCAAACCTACCCCCTCGCCATACGAGTACACGACGAAGCGAACAATGTCGACGACCTCTCGCTCCTACACGGCAAGCTTCGCCTTCCTCCTTGCCGCGGCTGTTATTTTACTGGTATCATCGGGCTCCGGCGAGCTTCTCAAGTTCAGGGAAGCTCCGGCATTTCGAAACGGCTGGGAATGTCCCGAAACGTCATGGTCGCCCTCCGACAAGCGAGTTCACAACCCTTCCGTTATCCATATAGCCATGACTCTCGATGCCGCCTACCTCCGTGGCTCGGTGGCCGGCGTCTTCTCCGTACTTCGACACGCATCTTGCCCGGAGAATGTGGTTTTCCACTTCATCACCGCCCCGCACAGCCAGTCTGAGCTCGACCGGATTATCTCCTCTACTTTTCCGTACCTAGACTTCTACTTATACCGCTTTGACTCAAACGTCGTCAGGGGAAAGATCTCGAATTCTATTCGCCGAGCTCTCGACCAGCCTCTCAATTACGCAAGGATGTACCTGGCCGATCTCTTGCCGGCCGGCGTTCGCCGCATAATCTACTTCGATTCCGATCTGGTCCTGGTGGACGACGCGGCGAACCTCTGGAACATCAATTTGGGGGCGCACGTTTTGGGCGCGCCCGAGTACTGTCATGCCAATTTCACCAACTACTTCACGCCCAAGTTCTGGTCAAACCCAGTATATGCGGCGTCGTTTCGCGGCCGTAAACCTTGCTATTTCAACACGGGTGTGATGGTTATCGATCTGTGGAAATGGAGGGAGGGCAGGTACACGGAGAAGCTAGAGACCTGGATGAGGATTCAGAAGAGGCACCGAATCTACGAGCTCGGTTCGCTGCCGCCGTTCTTGCTGGTGTTCGCTGGAAACGTCGAGAGGGTAGATCACAGGTGGAATCAGCATGGACTGGGCGGGGACAATCTCCAAGGTTTATGCAGAGATCTTCATCCTGGACCCGTGAGCCTACTACACTGGAGTGGTAAGGGGAAGCCATGGCTGAGACTGGACGCCAAAAGGCCATGCCCTTTGGACAGCTTGTGGGCCCCATATGATCTGTTTCATCGCTCTTTGTTGTTCTCTGATAGCTTGAGGAGAACAGATGAGCTTGTATAATCAATACTTGGCTGTGCAGGGGAAGTAACAGAGAGGGCAAAAGGAAGAAACTTGACAGAACTGGTAAGCTAATATTAGCTTAATACAGCCATGTCAAGTTGAACAAAGGTGATGGTAGCGGAAGATACGATGAGGTAGAGGGGGGATGTTATATGATGATTGGTTGCATGGCATGTATAATAATGAATGACAAGACGAGAACATGGTGCTGTGGTGCTGATATTATATTCTTCTCTGGGTTTAGGTGAAACAGAAGTGCTGAAAAATGGCAAGTATATACGTTTTTGTTCCATGTGAGATCACAAAGGATTTTAAATAGCATAGAGAAATTGAGTTAAGGCGAGGCACAAGGGCGTGATGTTTAGCGTCCAGAGTCTATACTGTGATTAATTTAGAATATTCTTTTAGTCCTTGAAGGTAATGCAATGTTTAGGATTTTGTTAGCTTGAAACTTTATTTATTATTATTATTTTTTGGATCTGATGTATTGATAATATATTTTTTTAATGCAAATCAACTACGGATTTTTTTTGGGGCAAAATAATCAATTACGGAACCTGAATATTGGTTCTGCTGACTGCTGTGGCTATTTGAACTGTGAATTTCTGTATAGTCTTGTCGGAGGAATTTCTTCACTTCTATTTCATATATATAAAATCTCACAATCAATATCATTATTAGAAATCATCAGTATATGTCCGGGTTGAAAGCATCTTTCTCTTGTACTGAATCTAGCATGTTATGGTTCAGTTTCATTTGGTCTGTCAAGGTCGAACTTAAACTATATTAACGGATTCTTAATATTTTAAAAGAACAGTGATAGAAAATATGGGAAACATTATTCTAGAAAAAAATAAATTCTCTTTATGTTATTTTAATATTTTGTAAGAAGGGAAATCTATCGCCTAACTTTATATGAACAAGGTGTTAAGGTTTTCTTTTGTGTTCTTTTATAAGAGGAAATCTGAGAGTTAGCTTTATATGTAAATGTAATTAAAGTTTCCTTATTTATGCATTAGAGTTTTGTTAAATAGACTTGATTGCACTTGTAATGGACACACTTGATGAATGAAATATTGTGATTGAGTTTCAGAAGCTCTCTCCCTCTCTCTCTGCGTTCTGCCTCTCCCCCTTGCTCCCCCACTGTTCTGTCTTCATCTTCCTCATTTCTTCCTCCTTATTTCTGATTTCTCTCTACTCAGTCCCTCTGTTCAGCACCGTGCAAGTGTGTGTGACATCAAATAGAGTCCTGAGAAATTATGAAATTGAAAAGAAATTATATCCTGAGAAATTATGAAATTGAAAAGAAATTATAGCTTGAAAAGTTGGTATCAAGCCAAATCTTGCCAATTCTTGTTGACTTTAACAATTCCTGGGATTGGTTTTTTGGGTTGACTGGATGGTTTTATTCTGCGGAAGTTGAGGAAGGAATGCTTTTGAGTAGGTTGGAAAGTTAAATTTCCTGGAAATCCTCTTTGATGATGCTAGATATTTTATGTGAACCTGTCGAAAAAATAGGTACTTGATGTTTTTCAATTAAATAACGTCTTTGTGTGTACTTAGGATTCTTGGTCATGCATAAACGTATAGCGTAGTTCATATGTCTTATCTAGATTACTGTGATCCACGTATGTGAAGTTGTGATTCATGTTCTAGAGGATCAAAATGGGGTCCTGTAACTAGTTTCCCAGTGTGTATATATTTAGCCCATGTGGTCAAGGAAATGGGATATAATCGAGTTCTGCAATTTTCTCCACATATTGTTTTTTTTTTTTTTTGCTTCTCTCCCTTCCAAGTAAAGTCAGTAAATTAATTACTCTTTCTCCCCACTCCCCCACCCTCCCATACTAATTCTTGTCTTAAGATTCTTTTTCTACTTCGCAAAAACATCAGCGAACAGATGAAAACTATTTTTCTTGTCAGTTTCATCGTTGATCCTCTGAGTTTTGTTCTCTTGAACAAATATCCTTCTTTCAAACTATCTGCAGAACTAAGCCGAGAAAGATGGTGTTCAGGAGTTTGAAGGGCGTCTCTGAATCGTCTCCATTTATTCTTTTCAAAAGAGAACAATTCAGGAGATCATTACTGTGGATATTATCACTATGTGTTGGATCCACACTGTAATTATACTAATTCATTTTTTCAGTCTATCTCCCTGCAGAACTCAGGATCTGATGCTGACTGAGTAGAGATTTTTCCATCTGATGCTGGTAGTCTCTCTAATCCATTTTCACTTTTTAAACTGTGACTCCCACCACCGGCTCGTTAATGTTCTTCTGATAACTGCTGTGACATGTATTAAAAGGTGAGTCAAGAGTTCTGGTTCTATCTTAAGAGCTATCCAATGTAAAATATAAGGAAAAAAACCTGCTTTAACCTTGAAATAGTGATTCTGTGTGAGGTCCAGGATTTGACCAAGGCGTTTGAAAGAGAAAATTGAATAGGTCAAACACTATTGAGGCATCTCATTGTGCTTGGAGATGCTAGGTTTCAGGATCATTGTCATTGAAGGTAAGGATTGCATTTGACTTCGTCTGATCAAATTCAAGGTCCGAAGGAGCGGATTGAATGTATGCCATATGCTTCTATGTTTATAATGGAAGAAAGGTAAGCCTTGAAGGAGGAGGCTGGGTATAATGCAAGTAGTTGTGCCATCATTTTTTTTTGACTTGATTGTTGCTTCTATGTTTAAGTTTCCTTCTTGTATGGAGAAACTAAAGATTTAAAATAAAACATAAACATGGGGTAAACAGGTGTACTCTTTATAACAGATCAAGATTTAGTATGTGCTGCCAAGTGACAGGCCGTTTGTGTTTTGCCTATTATTATATTTGAGCTACTTATTTTCCTTAAAATTTGAACAATCCATATTAAACTAGCAGATCTAATGGGGACAAAAGGGGTGCTTGATTTCCTCTATTAACCTCTTCATCAATTCTAATGGTTCTCTTTAACGTATTTTAGATGGAAGGACTGGCATCAGTAACGAAAATAACTTTGAGGATCCAATAAAAAGAAATAAAATTCTAGGGACTTGATTAAAAACTAAATGAAACAATAGGAATTGATGTATAAGTTTTCCCTATGCAAAACTTCTAAAATTAATGTTCTCATTTTATAATATTAAAAATGTTAATTTGTTTTAATATTAGAATTTTAATTTTGATTTCAATTATCGTATAAGTGCTAGCAGAGATTTTTTTTTAAAAAAATATTTTGAACGAAGTTTTTTGTGTCTTTTTTATTGAAAAAATGTATGATGTTAAATTTATTTTATTTTTATTTATCTTAATCTTTTATGAATTTTTATTTCTTCTAAATGTTGTTTGAACTAATTTTTAACATTGTAAATTTTTTGGAATTCAACTCATCTAAATTTGTTCTTATTTAAAAAAAAATCCGAATCTTTTTTAAGGACTATTTATTTGGTTGGAAGAAGTAATTTATTTGGTCCAATAAAAAAAAGAACAGAATGAAAAGATTCGATCAGATAGGATCAAATTATTTGATATCTGAGTTTTGTTCACGGAAACCAAAATCCTTCTTGCCCAGGTGCGTACTGTCTGTACTGTAGAATTCTGCAAAGTGAGTATGGTGAATGGGCTTGTGGATCTATATGGTAGCTGTTAATGGGCTAGAAGATATGGTTATGTGGCTTAAAGTATTATGTAGAAGGCTTGTGTTTTGATGAACAGAGAAAAAGTTTACAAGAATGCTTATTATTATTCTACATAACGTTTTCAAAGCACTCCGTAATAATGTTGAAGATATAACAGCGTTTGTATCCCAAAAACACTCCTAGAAGTTTTCATGCGAGAGTTTTTCCAAGTCAAAAATGCTCTCATATATATGCAATATGTTCCACCTTTGCATATTAAAATGTTTTCATATATATATATATATATATATATATGAGCGCATGGATGTGTGCATTGCTGAAGGCTTTTTTTAGTAGCGGCAAAACTCTTTATCAAGTTATGAAAACTGAAAAGACACTGTGCATCCAACAATCTGCTGTAAAAAGTGGTTGATTTAACGCCACAATGCAAGTGGAGACCAATTTTTCATCACTGGAAAAGATAGGATTGGCTTAACTTCACTTTACCATTTTAAAAACTTTTTTCAACGTTTGACACTTGGTCGTGTAAATACACATTAATTAGGTTATGTTTGGATAACATCTAAACTGAGTCTTGGATGGTTCAAACTTTAGTTAAGGTCTTAAAAACTCATTGGAAAGCCTAAAAGGTTGTTTGGATCAAAACAAATGGTCAAAAGAACTTTGGTCCATGAGTCCATTTACAGGGAAGTTGAAAATATGTTTTTTTTCCCCTAAGAAGGCCTTAGCTTATGTTGGATTAAGGGGTTCAAGAATGTTAAAGTCTACTCGGATAGTGTGAAAGCAATTAACTTAGCTTATGTTGAATTAAGGGGTTCAGGAATGTTAAAGTTTACTCAGATAGTGTGAAAGCAATTAACCTTATCACTAAAGGCTATCGCAGGGAACATCCTTGCAAGGATATCATTCAAAACGCTTGTAATTTCATTTGTAGAGATTGGTTTGTCCCTATTAATTATATTTTTAGAGATGTCATTAGTTATGCCCAGTTCCTTGCTAGTGAAGCTCATTTTATAGAGAGTTTTTTTTTTGTTTCTTTAATCATCCCCACCTAATTTAACATTACGAGGAGTATGATGATTGAGTCTACTCTTTGGTTTTGTATTAAGTTCCTTGTACTGTCCTGTTTGCTATATTTTGTCAATTTCACTTTCCATTCAAATTATATATATATATAAGTTTTGGTTTCAGCTATAGATAAAATTTAAACGCCTATCTAAACATAAATGATATTATAATCAAATGATTCAGATTAATTTAGATTGTGGCATGACAAACACTATAAAAGTGAGCGCCCTTGATCACTTATATTGTTGTATTTTTAAAACTCGAATATGAGACTTTTGGTTAAGAGGGAACAACTCTTACTAGTTGATGTAAGCATTCATGATTATAAAAAATATCCTTTTATAGTTTGAGTTTGAATTAGAAATGTACAATTATATTATTATGTAGCCCCTTGGCCACTCATGTAATCGTTTAACAGAGTCATTAAATCTGTCCGTACGTCATAAAGTAATTGATAATAGTCATTAGACCTGTCATTACTTGTTAACCAGCTATATAATCTTGCAGTTTACGCCAATGGAAAAATTCTAAATATGCTGATATCATATAATAAAGATGTACTTCTAAGATTGTTTTGAGGACAAATCTAACTTTAAGAAAAGTCCAAGAAGATATCTTAATGTTATTTATATTAATAAAGGTATGTCCTGTTTTTCAAATTTTGTTCAATGTATATGTAAACATATGTTTTGTTAAAAATAAAAGAGAGTCATGTTAAGGGAGAACAATACTTAGGTCTTAAAAGATAGATTTAATGACAATTAGCTTTCAGAAAAAAATTTGCCAAAATACGAGTTGCAAATATTAATTTAAGTACTGACAAAGACTTTCAATTGCAAATTAGAGATCAGGTGGCCTATAATACTTAAATGTTTGGTTTGCCACTGTCATTCCTATATTTATAGTTATTTGAATTAATATTTATAACCCATATCTTTTAACAAAATTTGTTGAAACTTAACTGTTATTACTTGTGTTAATTATTTGAACCAACAACGTTTAGAGTAAGTTCACATAGGGATGATGCTGAAACTTTTGATCTCTGAAATTTATCTATGTTATTGATTTAATCCCTAAAATTTAATGTTTATTAATCATGTCCTTCAAGTTTGCTTTAGTTTTCGATTTGCTTCTTAAAATTGCCGAAGGTGAAGATGCACAATGATGGAAGACTTACCAGCGAAGGAGAATATGCACAATGATAGAAGACTTTCTATGGATGAGACACACGATGATAAAAAGCAAAATGATTTTACTGTAACATTGTTATTTTCCAAGAAAATTTGGATAGGTGCACTTTCAATTTACTTTTCAGAAAACCCTTTTTCACTTGCCTAACATTGAATAATTGTACATGATTAGGAAATTTTAGGGACTTGTTGATAAAAATTAAATTTCAAGAATCCAATCAATAATTGAGGCAAAGATGAAAATTTTATTATTCCATTCACAATAACCGGAGCCTTCAATCAACAAAAGCCATTGCGATTAATGTATTCTGGGAAAACTGGAACTGCCAAATCAAACGAAACCAACCCACTGATTCTTCCACATGGAAAATCTTGTTTAGCTCAAATCCTTGACAAGTGGCTCTATGTGTAATGCAAGAGCTGTCCATAAATGGGGTATTTGGGATGCGACTGAAGGAACATGTGGCGAGGTTGTTCCTTAACAAACAAGCATAAAGAACAAGAATGAAGAGGAAGAAAGATTATAAAAGCAACGAGGCTCTTGAGTCCAAGATAATATTAATGAATATATGTTGATTGTCTCGCAGGCAATGCCATTGTGAATCACGAGAACTTCACGTGCAACTCTGACCTTCTTGTTTCAGTACAAAACCGACCTCGTTATCTTTTTTTAAAAGTTTCATCAGACTGCTCGTGTGTTAGAGTTCAACCTCTTTGCTCATGTTACATTTCAAAGCTGCTGTTTCATTAAAGTAGTGTTCTGAGTTCTGATTAGATCATTTCTTTGTTGTAATATCTGTGTCATTTCTTTGTTACAGTGGAAAAAATATAAAAGAAGAAAAAACTGACAAAGTGCTCAATTCCATGGATAACATATATTTGAAAACTATATATCAGAACGAGCCGTTGAATAAAGGTTGGCATTTTAAGTGACTTGGGGTGAGCACGAGACTGAGCAAGCAGATGCCCTGCTTTGGCTTTCGTTAAGCATGATTAAATTATTGATGGTTTAATTAATCTCTTATTAGCTGTGTTTGGGTCTATTATACTAAAAAAAATTTCATATCTCTCTCTCTCTCTATACTTTATTTTAATGCAGTAAGCTATGGAATCTTAGTCATAAGCTTGAAACTTACGTCCCTGGCTGCTTTTCTTGACCCCCTTTATGATGTTGCAGAAGAAAAAAATTAACTTTTCTCTCTTTTGATTCATTACATTAGCAAATTTGCTTTCAGACGCATGCAAAGTCACTATAGAGTATAGATTGCTTTACTTACTTTTTCTCATCCAATGGAGTAAAGTAACTATGAATTTGGAGTTCAATGGAGGATAATACACTTGTGACTATAATCCAATGATGCATTGATATTTTAAAAGCAATAATTCTATTGTGTGTGATATTTATAGATGTCTAATACTTATATTAAACATCATGCAGCACTTTTAAAAAAATATTATGTTCTATTATAATGTCCGTATCATGCTTTTAAGAAACTTGTTCTTCAATACTGCTTTGTCTTCTCCAAAACTGTCAGAAGCATGTCTTATATTCTGTTGATTTGGACCTCCATTATGCAGCTTCTGTTTATAAAGTAACAGAAGCTCTAATGAAACATATAGCCTTATATTCAGTTCCATTATTGTGGGGTTAGGCTCACCAAATTCTGCGTCTTGTTCCTTGCTTGCAATTATTTATGGACTCAACCTTTGGGTAGACACAAATTTTAACCAAAGAAATACTGACTCTGATGTTGATAGCTGTGTGTGGCGTCTGTGGGGTCCTTAAGTTTATACATGTGTTTTCTATTAAGAGTGAAGCTGGGAGATAAGTTGAGTCCACTCTGAACTTTTCAAAATACATGTTAATGGTTGTTGTGTGTGTATTATTATGTAGGATTCAACTAAACCAACCCCTATCCACCGGTCATTTCCCTGATTATGTGGATCCAACAAAAAGATAACAGAAGCAACAGATTTAAGGCACCGAGAAAAGAAAAGAAAAGAAAAGGTTTTTGTCCTCATTCACACATTCACCTATAATGCATGAAGTAGGGGTAGGGGGCAAATAATTTTAAAAATAAATAAATCATCCACGAGTATTTGCTATATGTCAGGTATAATGTGATTCTATTATTTATAAGAATGTTTAGACAGATGATGATATGCTGCAAGCTCTTATGCATGATTAGTTATAAAATTCTAGTGTTAGTAGTATTATCATGGCATGATATCTTGCATTAATTTGATAAATTAACTTTAATTCTATATGTGTTTCAATCTGAATCATATTCCATGAGGATGTCAGTGTTGAGTCAGCTTGTAAACTAAGAAAGAAAATGCCACCATATTCTTGAAATGGGAGGCCCCATTGTGCTGGTGGGTAGTGGCTACATGTAGGACAATAGAGAGTGACATAACAATGGGAGGAAGTGAGGCTTGTTTTATCAATCCCACCCTTATTGGGGTTTATGGATTCCCAAGTGATGAAGCTGATGTTGGACCCACCTGGTCTTGTGTCTCTTAATGGATTTTGAGCCTATGCACACCCTTTCATGCCCCATCTCTGCCTTCTTTACTAGACCAACCCTTAGTTAGGACCATGTCACCTCCTTACCTTCCACTTGTATATATAACACCCCATCTCACAGCAATTCTCAAACCAATTCACACAAAGTTGAGAATTTGAGCTCACCAGAAGTAAAGGAGAAAATCCTTTTTCTGTTTCTGAGAAGGAAGAGTAGGTGAAGATCATGAAGGTGGCAAGTGGTAGCTCAAAGAGAAGGTTATCAAACAGAGGACTTGGAGGAGCCCTCAGAGAGCAGAGAGCTCGTCTATATATTATAAGAAGGTGTGTAGTCATGCTTCTCTGCTGGCATGACTAGAAGTTCAAGCCTAGGTTAAGAATGCTTTCCATGGATGTGAAAGCCTTTTTTTTTCCTATTTATTTTGGTTATTTTTTTCTGATTCATGATGGAGTGTATATAGAAAAAAAGCAAGATATTATGTGAAAGGGGGACAATTTTGTAAGGGCTTTCTGGCCTTCAGGGTGTAGCTTTATGTACATCGGAATAGCATGAATACCGAAGTCCTTTTTACCATTCATTCTGTTCTTTGGTCTACTTCTGGTTTCTCCTTCAATTTCTATGTTTTACACTGAATCACTGTATAACTTCCAAGGGTAATAGCTATCTATCAACTAAGTCAGTGTTGGTTGTTTGAAGAGTGTTTCAGGAAGAGAATCCCTTGAAATCTGAACTGAATATTCTTAAGTTCTTCAGGTTTTAGAAAAGATTTTCATGGAAGAAAGCTTTGATTTTCCATGTGGTTATGGTGCTATGTCAAGCTCTTACCTTCCATTGAGGGAGAAAAATGGACGGTGGTCAGTTCTATTGGAGTTCGTTGAAGATTAAAGGGGGGAAAAATAGAGAAGAACACCAAACCCCATTCGCTTTTTTAACGGCTTTGCCGTTTGTTTTTTCAGTCTCACTGAACTGCATTAGTTAATCTCTTTTTACATTTTTCTTTGTCCAGGAATTAAATTTAGCTAGTGGCAGATTTGGTTTTCATGGTAATTCCTAGAAAGCAGTAACTTGGGGTTCCTAGTTGAAATGCTGCTATCAAGATGCAGAAGCAGAGAATTAAGTTTAGCTTTGTTCTGCTGAACCAGTTCTTTATGCTGATTTGGTAGATGTTAAAACTTAAGAAAACTGGCTTATGAAAGAACTTGAGAGAGGGAGGGAGGCAGGGAGCAATTTCTAAAACAAAAATGTTAGAGGAAGATTAAGTTAATGGGCTTCAATAATTGGAACATCATGTAGGTCCCATAATAATTTGAAGTGAAGATTTTGTTGAGATTGCATAATTGGAACTTCTAAATTGTTTTGTTAACACTGAATAATGCTATTCACACCTTTAAATTCATAAAAAGATATATATATATATATATATATTGTCAATTAATGGGTCACCAACACAAGTTATTGGCTAAGTCATTAATAAAGAATAAGAAAACAGATTTTCCTCCCTTTTTTCCTTTTGGGGAATACAGAAGATGCTAAAGTAGATTTGCGAATCAAGTAGTAGTCAAACATGCCACATAATAATAAAAACTAACTAATCACATTCAAATTTATGGGGGAAAAAAATCACCTTTTTGCAGACTATTGAAAAAATCATGGTTAAAAAAACAAGAGCGGGAAGGATTTTGATTCCCCCTAACGGTTTCATACAACAATATTTTCTTAATACATATAATGAAGTCTGATTATTACAACAGATGATCAAATCTGTTGACCTACACCAATCATGCAAAGTTGTTATATCAGAACCCTTCAATTATGCATACAAAACACGTTACAAGGTGCCACAAGCATTCCTTAATTCATATAATTAAATAGAATATTCAATAACAGTAGCTGCATCATGGGCTAGAATTTGACAGCATCTACAGTTGTTGGTTATTTTATACTAGATTCCTTGTTATAATATGATAATGTCCATTGTATTTTTATAAATTGCTGGTTAGATATTGTAGGAGACACAGGTTGTGGTGAACCATGACAAAGACCGATGGCTGGTATCCACTGAGAAGGTTGAAACCGATCTTCTTGTCTTCAAATCTTGATGAGAATCGATCTGCTTGTCTTTCAACTAAACAACATTTAGCTCTTAATTTTCTCTCTTTTTTTCTTTAAAAGAAGTTAGTAAATGGGAATCTTCATTTATTTTTTTATTACTTTGTTTTCTCCATGAAACAGAGTAATTTTCAGACAACCTGGTTGTCCCTTTGGGTCAGGGAAGAAGCAGAGGGCATAGTTCAACGTGACATTTGTGGTCAAAGGACTCACAGTGTAGGTTGTGGTGGGCCCAGCAAAGTGTTGGGTTCCAGCTGATAGCTGAGTTCTATATATGCCACGTCAACAGATTAAAAGGCCTTTATCTTCCATATGTTTTAGTCCAGAAAATAGGGAAATAGGAGTGAGTAAGCTCCACATAAACAAATGATAGAGCTGCAGTTGCTGCCTTCACATATGTCCAACGATGGCATTCCCGTGATTTCATTTCTTATTTCCTGTTAAAATTCTTTTTTGTCAGAAAGAAATGGTGATCAGGAAAGCCACTCCTAGATCTGTCAGGCAAGGCATCAGTGCCTTGGATTGGAATTCACCGGAGGACATTGGTTACCCCTGAGGGCCTAGTTGTTTGTCTCTGATTAAGACCAATCCAAAGTCATCCAATCAACTTATAACCCAGTGGCATCAAGTATTTCTTGCTTGTAGGAACTTGCAAACACCCATATTTCAAATTATTTCACATATTTTTATTTATATCGATATCGACACTCACGGATACTTTTCAATATATATTTACAAAATATTAAAATATTATTTTTTATTTTTTAAAAATTAATATTTAATGTGTATCTCATATTTTTAAATTGTAAATTAATACATTAAAATCGATACTTTAAAGCTATTTTAAAGAAATTAAATTTTATTAAATATTGCAATATTAATCATTTTTGTTCTTAATATATTTTTTAAATTTGCTTTTAAAGATAAAGATTAGATTTTTCTTAAAGAATAAATTTTAAGTATAATAAAAAATTAAAAATTTTATTTTTTTAATATAAAAACATATAAATATAATTTTTTGGCATATAATACCCAAGTAGTGAACGATTAGCAAAGATTAGATGGAAATCAATTAGGTATAAATAAAATAAAAGTATAATTAAAAATTATATTCTTCTGTGTATTATTATGAAGGATTGTATATATATGATAGTTTGAATATTTTTTCAATTAAAACTATATTTTTAATATTTTTATGATGTGTGCATGCACACATATTAAAAATGTATCATATCTTATATTTTTAAAAATAAAAAATCAATATGTCAGATACAATACGCATATCAACATCTGCACTTCATTGGTTGCGGGTCCAATGCTACTCGCTTTCACACTGTTCACCTTGCCCCTTTCAAAAAATGGAAAATTTTAGTATGTTGCAGGGAATTCAAACTCACAGTCTCACATGTAAGGAAAAATGCATATATTTTATTTACATGGCACAACTTGACACAGTTTTTATATAAGCTACAGTGCGAGAGGGTTTAAATAGCTCATTATTGTATCACCATGTGTCTAATGAAACCAAAAATGAGAGAACTTCGTGAAAGTGTAATGTCGGCCAAATAGGATAAAGCATGGGTGGGCAGAGCCCCCTTGGCTGGAGAAGAGAGAGACATAAGACGTTTGGTCAATATGGCAGCCTTATCCCCTCCCACGTGCACCACCTTATCCTTAACCCCACTCATCTTCCTTTTTGCCTCTCTTTTCAATAGTACATTCCCGCTCCAATAATTCTTTTCCTTGTTCCTCCGGAAAAATTCTCACTCTTTTATCATTGAAATTTGAATGATTCATGTTTTTTTCCCTTTCTCAGTTTCGTTCAGCGTATAGGGTCTGATGTTATCGTCCCAATTTTAAAGCCTGTAACTTCGCACAGCTCTTCAGTCTCAAGAAGTAATTCCCGTTTAAAATTCAGTTTAGTCACATAACAATGATTATGATAAAATGATTAGCAATTAACGGAGTGATTAGATTCTTAGACACTCTGACAGATATTCGGTTCAAATTCATGAACAAGAAAAGGACATGACCATTTTCAATTATAGCTTGATTAACAAAGCATTGATTTTTGTTGTGGGAACATTACATTCCACACAAGCACTTGTGCCACTCGTGAAGAGGCCCATTGTTTGTCTGTCTTCTCTCGCCCCACCGCTTCATGCCAGCTAGCATAAACTCTTCAGATTCTTAAAAGTTCATGAATTTGTCATCACCATGAGACACAGTAAGCCTTAACAAACTTGATGGTCGACAAAGCATTTGTGAAACATAATGTCCTAGAACATGGCTATATGCATCTGCATCTGTCACTTTAAACATGGGATTGTACAGGTCAGGTCCACAGCCAGGATTGAAATTACCTAAAGGATGTCAAAATATGCCAAAACAAAGTATGCTCTCCGAGTTCTCTTGCTTAGGCCAAATTAGTCAGAGGGCGAAGAACACAGCAAATCCACATGTCATTGTTTAACTTGATAAGTTCACTGACTTTCATTACAGCTTGAGTAGTAAATCAAGGGAGTAGTAGTACAAAATATCCCTTTGATCAACCAAGGCAACTTTTCAACAATAGGGAAGACATGGTAAAGTTCCTTAGGTGTCTATTATCAAGTTCTCCCATAAATTATAACATGTGAACATGTTTTAATGATTCAGCGTCATAATGTTGACTCCTTAGAAATGATTTCTCCACACGTCATAATTCTATTGAAGGACATAATAATCAACACCTATAAACTACACCGAAGTTTCTTCCAGCAACAAAAAGTAGTTACAAAACAGGTTAATTTTCTATATCTCATGTGAAGAACCATCAGTTCTCTTCCTTGCTGCCACCCCAGGCAATGTAGCTATCTTGTGAACCAAACTCCTACATAAACATGAACATGTGCTAAAATTAAAGAAGAGTCGGTAATAAATTGAAAGTTGCCGAGAAAATAAAAATACCAGCTGACTGAGTCGAAACTCAGGAGGCGTATCAAGTTCTATATTTGCGGGATCGATAGCAAGATTTTGGCACTCTTCAAGATCCTTTTTCAGATGCTCTGGTCCTAGTTGCGCATACACAGAAAGACTGGGTCGGTCCTTGTGTTCTTCACTTTTGTCATCTCTGTTGGGAGATTGGCTGTGAAGGAGGTCCTCACACAAGGACAATGCTTCGACGAGTTGTTGTGAATTCAACAAATGCTGTGACTCACTTTCCCACCATTTTTGTTCTTCATTTGCATCATCGTCTTCATCATTATCTATTCCTTCATCACAAATTTGTGCTTCTTCCTTGGGGATATCAGTTTTTGGCTCTTCACCTGCTTGAGATACATCTTCTACACAATCCGTCGAAGGATGCTAAGATAGAAAGTAGTGGAAAAAACAAAATAGAACATGTATTAGCTTCTTCAATGAATGCTATCTTCAAATGGCATGCTAAATGCTTATGACATTTTATCTAGTTACTAGTTAGAAAAAATTATACTAGTTACTTTAAACCTCTCAGGCAAAGTATGAAAACGGGGATCAAGCTTTATAGGTGAAAATAAACACTTTTTTTTAAGAACATATTTAACTACTAATTTAAAATAATACACATTATTTGTTACATCCTCTTGCAATAACAAAAGCAAAACACAAACTTAAAATGGTTTTTGACAGAATGATAATAGGAAAATTGTTTCAACATGACTAACAAGGAAACATGATCAAAGGATTCACCTGAGGAATGAAATGCGATTCTAGCCCCACATCAACGTTTGAATGTGGTCTTTTGTTACAAGGTGGATCAGGGGTCACTGATTTGGGGGTGACTGGATGGACTTGCGCAGCTGTTGATTCAATGTTTTCAGTGCTTTCAGGAATATCCAGGGTGCTTGCAGGAATATCCAGGTCATCTTTATCGCCAGATTTGACGTGCTGCTGCTGGTAAAAAATTTTAGAGACAACATACTCCCCTTCCTTCTCATCCTCTTGTGTTCCGAGATGGTATTGATGCATAACCCAATTAGTTTTCTCTGCTTTACCTCCTTTACTCATATAAAGAACCAGAATCTTTTTACATCCCTTTTGAAGCCCGTTCAACATGACCGGTTTAGTTCTTCCAGTCTTGTGCCAGCGGACATCACTGAAATCCTGACCAAGTATTTTTCTACGCTTTCGATTGCCAGTATTGTAAGCCTTGATTGCTCTATGGAAGAAGTGGGATGCACTTCCATCTTGATTAACACCTTTTGTTTCAACCACAATATATCGATTAAAATATATGATCAACCATTAAAATGAGAACAAGCTTATGCTAGTATGCTACCAACCGGGTAAATGTTTTGGATGAGTATAACAAATTCCATCATCCACTTCAAGAGTAGTGATAAATTCATCAATGAAAGGATGCGATCTTGAATTTCCCACACCAACTTTTGCAAGCAAGTGGCATATTATATCTTGATCGGATGGATCAAATTTCACGCCCTTTGGCAATCCAGGCCATTCTTGTGCTACCTAGCAACAGAAAATTTTTGTGTCGAAAAACAGAAAACATCTATAACGTTACATGCAATGCTCAAGAATGTAAAAGGTTGAAATTTCAGCCTCAATAAGTATTAACTCCTACCGTGATAATACATTAATGCTAGCCAATTTTGAAGACAGAGTTCTAAGAAATCAGAGATATGGCAAAGAACAGCATCAGCAAACCTAAATGGTTATAAGATAAGAAAAAATTAACTTGCTCGCGGCTAACTTAGATTTCAATGTATCTAACGTAAATCTCTCGAGGCATGGTTGAAAGTTGAGGTGCTTATGAAGGAAGTTCCTTTCGCAACTGATGGCTTCCTTCTCCAAAAGTATAGTGACATCATTAAGAAAGGATCATACCATGGATGATCTATGTCCCATGTGATCCAATGATGCCATTGACTTTAAAGGAAGCTAACCGCATATGAGCAAATAATATTTTGATTATATCCTGCCTTACTTTGATTCCCCTTTGCTTCCATCACTTTTGCATGACAGGTTCATGAATCAAGATATACTTAAATGTAGGTCAGGCTACTAGATAGCACATGAAATTATGATCAAATTATCTGAAGATAAGAAAGATAAAGTGGCTGTTTACTTGTAATTTATCATAAGGGTGAAATGCTCCTGCATCGAATTTCACATTCAGTTCAGTCAAGGGCAACTTTTCTCATAAAATAACAATCATGTAACATCACAAATGAAAAAAAACGGAAAAAACCGCAATTGACACTTCAGAATGTGAATGAAATTACACAACACAAATATAGGTGCAGCTTGGGAGTGAAAATTTTCTTTTTTTGAAATAAACCCCACATAAATAATTTAAAGATGTATGCAAGTCACATATAACAATGTTCTATGAAACCTGACATGAAAATCGAGAAGCTTCGTAAGAAAAATCACAACACTTACATCGCTGTTATCAATAATGTGCTGACAACTTGGGCAAGCTCTGGTGGGATTGCTTTTCCATATAACCTTCTCAGGATCACATGCTCCAGAAGCACTCTTTATTTTTGTTGCTATTCTACTTTTGTCCACCAACCACGATGTTCTGTAAGAAGAATGACGAACACAAAGGCAATGCAGCATAAATTGAAACCGTCACATTGCCTAAAAACCAGGATCAAGAAGCTAACAAGTGCAAACAGGACAACATGTTACCAAAAAATGGCCACAAATGGAAAGTTACAGCATGAGTCAAATAAATGACATTCTATAAGCAGTTAGGGTTATGGATTTTCTTTTCTTTTCTATTTTTCTTGGGAAGTGGGGTTTAGCATGGAATGACTAGCAGGTGAGAATATTGAGTTTAGATTCTTTTGATGTTAGAAGCTTGTGCTTTAAGGGCCATTTACAGAATTGCCATCAAATTTAGCAAATTGTGATTTAAAAGGGACATATCGCTACTCTGACTGCGAACTCCTAATGAAGTTAAAACGAGGAATCATGATCGGCTCCTCATATCCAGCATCAAGTTGGTTACAAGAAAAACATAAAAATAAAAATAAAATCCCAAATTTCAATCGCCTAAAATGATCTGCCATTCAACTCGGTCCTAGAACAACGAACATCCCTAAGATCACAAATCGTGTGCGTATGGGCGGGCGCGTAATAAAAAAGAAGAAGAAGAAGGTTAAAAGAAAAGAAAGTCAGGATTTTTAAGATGAAAGTAACAAAACCTATCGACAAAATAAGAAACAAGTCACAATCGAAGCTCAAAAACAGAATGGTCACTTTCTCATGGCAGCAATTTAGTTTCCAAGCAGTTCCAGAAGCAATAATGTTCTTCATCCAAGATATCTCTCCCAGTGGCAAAACCAACTGAATAAAAGGTTTGATATTCAACAAACACATAAAAACAAAGAAAGAACAGAGAGGGAGAACGGCACACACCCAGCCATAGGAGAGAGAAAGAAAGATGATGATGATGCAGGTGAGGCCAGAGATCAAAACCATCAACTTCTGGGATTTGATTCTGCTTCTCACTGAGAAAGTTCCCTGAGCGCGCTAGTGATAATTCTGTTTTGTTCCTCGATCACATTCAAGTATATACCGAGGAAAAAAGGAAGACCTGGCTACTTTTGCCGATTTTTTTAAATTTTCTCAGTGTCTAATCGCATCCACAATCTAGCAACGACAACTTTTTTGTCCTTTTTTATGTTTAATTTTAAATTAAAAAAACTATAGCAATTACTTGAAAATTAAACTTTCTTAAATTAAAAATATATACTGAAACATACCAAAATTCTATTTAAATATAATAACTAACTCTGCAGATGTTTAAATTAAAAATGTGATTAGAAAATTATCTACGTTTAAAACTCAATTTAACTGAAATATAATTTAAATTAATTAGAGCACTTCATATATCAAATGATTGGGTAAAACAAAATAGCCTTTTGAAATGTCAATGGCGGAGTTGAGTCCGCGTACCGGTTGTGTTGTTGAATGATGACTCCGACGTATTCGCAGTACCTTGTTGTTTGCGGTTTTGAATGAAAGGTGGGGGCCCTTGGGGGGGCATCTTTGGCGCTCTTGTGGCTTAATTTTTGGAGTATTTAAATTTAATATTTATCATCATCATTTTAATATATTTATTTTTTTACTCCTACAATTATTCTTAATTTATTTTTCCAACTCTCTCTCTCTCTTTTTGCCCAAAATACTCTCCATATAAGCATCATCATCAAATATCAATATGCTAAATAGAATTTGAAACATTAGCATCTACTGTTTCATTATTTAAATTTCATATCAGCCTTCTCTTAGATTTATTTGGTACATGACACTTGATGCTAGGGATTGTGATTGAGTTAGAATAATTTCACCTTTGACATGTTTGATATAAATCATTTATTAAACTTTGAAATTGCTGAAACCATCTACATGGAAATACTTAAATTCACCACCCTTGGCATTGCAAAATTAATCCTAATATTAAAATTTTGGTAATTAAAATACCCTCTTGAAAAGATACCTAGATCTGACTTGCCCTCCTCATCCACCTAATCGTGTGCGCCTCCTTCGTCAACCTCAACCTTGCAAATGTTGCAGCACGTTCACCCATATATAACTCCATCACTGCTAAAAGAGGAGGAGATCTTTTTTTTAAGTTATATATGTAAAATAAAAGATAGAGATTGTTTCAGCAAATGTGAAGGAGCAAAAATCAAAGTTAGAGAGACACAAAACATTGACGAAGAAGGAGATGGAGTATGACGCCGTTTAAGTTGTCTTCCATGATCTACTTCGACTCACACAAATCTGCTTTGACTTCTTCAAATCTGCTGCATTCAAAGCTGAAACTTAAGAAAGTTTTAGAACTGAGTTTAGGTTGTCGAAGACGATTTATTGTTGCAATACTGGGTCTTTATCTTTGAAACTCTGACGATTATGAAAACTTCAATGAAGATGTTGTTTAGTTTCAAACTCTGGATTTATTACCCACTTTTGTATTCTCTGCATTTCAATTATTCAAATTGAAACTAAAGCTATGCCAGGGTCATTCCTTATAAGCTATGGTTACAATTTTTATTTTTTTTAATTTTAAAGGATATTATAATCTTTTCATAATTTATGTTTAATTATAAAATAAAATAAAAGTAAGTATTCTCTACAAATATTACTTCATACTAAATATAATTTTAAAATCTCATTTTCACCCTTTTTTCATTTCCAATGTCAATACCAATTTTAATTTTTTTAAATTGAAGCCTACATATTAAAGAGGGCGTTGGCTTCAAAATTTAAATCATCCTGATTTATATTTTCCTCTTTTGTTAAGAAATTTTTTTTTATTTTAATTTTGAAATTCACTCTATGTTATAATTTTTATTAATGTTTTGTCAATCAATTATCAATTATAACTTTTAATTTAAAATATACTTTAAAAAAAAAAGAAGTTTTAGCTTGGCGTGGATAGCCTTTAAAAAGGCGGCGGCCATGTCATTTCATGTTCATTAATGAGTATTGACCTTTTTTGGCCAGGTTCATTAATGACCCTCGGGTGACTTTCTTTTATTTTTTATTCATTTTAAAAAAAATTATTTTAATTAAATTAATTTATACTTAATTTTGTTTTATATCTTTAATTATCTTAATGTTCTTTATCAATTTTTATGATGATTTCAATTTTTTTAAATTTTTAAATTCACATATTACATTTTTAAATTTTTGACTCATTAATTAAAAATAATATTGATTATAGTATCATATGTATCGAATTTTTCTTTTATGCAAATATTTATTTTCTTAAATATTTATTTTTTATTTACAATAATTTTAATCAAATTGATATTTTAAAACTTAACTATTAAGATTAAATGACAATATACACTCTAAACTATAAGCCTAAGAATAATAAATCCTACCTTTAATTTAAAATTAATGACATTACTTTAATGCTCCCTCCTCCCTCTCTCTCTTAATGAGTAAGCTAGCATATCTTTCTCTCCTTGCTCTCCCCCTCCTTCCTCTTTGATTAGCATACTTAACATACATGATATTTAACAATCCAAAATCACAATCATACATTGACACATAACTCCTTTGAACTTGCTTGTTCACTATATCTTGTACTATCATCATGCTCATTCTTTTCAAACATGGCCATGAAAGCTAATACTTGAGAGGTCTCATTAATGGCACTTGTCACATGAAACCTGTAATGTCCACTTTGACATTACCAGCATAACACTCCAACACACTATTGTAATGACCAGGATTCATTAAAATTTTTAAGAAAAGTCAACACAATCTAAAGGTTTAAAAGTAAATATTTTTAAAATTTTAGGATCCCAAAAAAATTCTTTTTGAAAAACTATTTAAACTCAAACTATAGTTTAAAATAATTAAAATAAGGTAGCAAAAGCAAAAGGGTCAAATAACCCATCAAACGAGCATTAAAAGATACAATTCAATATGCCCATAAAAGGCACAATTTGCTATGGCGGAAGAATTGTTCACCTCGATAGACGACACATAGAACCAAGGGTTCTTGTTATGCGATGCACTGTTGTGCGTCCTTGTTAGCATGATAGCAGCTATATGTCATGACATCACTCCATAAAACCAAGGGTTCTTGTTGTGTGATGCACTGTTGTGCGTCCTTACTAGCATGACAACAGCTATATGTCATGCGTCATTTCGCTATCCAATATTCGATTTGAGGAGTTCAGGTTAGCTTTTCAAACCCTCTAACTATTGGCACCAATCTCACATCCAAATAATCAACTATTTAAAAGTTGGACACTTGCACTCGAAATGGTTCTCTTTCAACCCATAACATATACATGGGTGTCCAAAACTCACAACCTTATGCTAATGGCCATGAAACTACTTGAACCAACTCAAATGAACTTCATATGACCTCATAGGCCAATCATATCACATAAATAACAATTCATACACAAAATGATTACCAAATCCCCAATTCATAGCAATATTAACGGGTGGCTAAAATTTATCATAAATGTCATTTTGACCATTCCAACACATAATTAACAGTAGTATATTACTTACACTAATATCTCAACCTCTCACAATAGTTTCAATACATAAACATCAACCTAAGTCAAGATACACACTTATACGCTACAATTTTTCACGAAAATGAAAACAAAACCATGAATGATCCTAATTTGGCATAATATACATAACATTCGTCACAAAATCAAAATAATAGAGAAGAGAGCTATACAAATGCAACCATTAGTCCTCAATAGTCCCTTCCTTTCTTTTTCCTCTACCGAAGCCCTTACCTGTAAAATATAACTATAGAGTGAGATAAACATTTTAGTAATAGAATAATTCACCATTATCAATTAACATATACAACTATAAGCAAGCAAAACTAATATACACAGAAACATTCATTTAGCATAGTCAATATACTCTTTTCTAAAATCATGATTCGTTTCCTACTTTAGCATGTTCATTCTACTGAACCTTTATATCACCCTGATTGAAATCATAAACTCTTAGACCAAGTGCACATTCACAGTAGCCTGAGCTCACTTTCGATTGTAAGATCACCCGGTCAAAGGTGTTCTATCCTACTTTCAAGCTATAGACTCCCCCTATCACTCATGAATTGGAGCGTTATTACTCCAATACCACATCATTGATGCTAAGGAGCATTAGTCTCTAACGCTGTATCCCACATAGATACTAAGGAGATAATTTTTAACACTATACCTTACTATGCACTAAGGAGATAATTCCACTTCTCCTTTTTATGGGTGAACTTCCATCCCTTATTATGATCATGTTCACACTTTTCATACACATTACATTACATACTTGTATGAAAACCACAATTCACCCACATGAGACACTTTCACAAATCTTCATCTTTTTGGAATAAGTTCAAATGCATGAAAATCATCTTTTACAATATGTTATGCTTTCGAAACACATGTAGAAAATTTACATATCTACTCACAAACAGTTAAGCACTTTAATCAAATAGTGTAAATTATTTTATTATCTCAACCCTAGAACATCTTTACAAATGTGCATCCAAGAGAAATTTGTCAGATAAACACACGTTTAGAAATATGTGAGTACTACAATGCAGCAAAGACATAGAGTCTAAGCTGAAATGCAAAAGTAGAACCCCATTAAAAATATTTATGCACATTTAGATGAGGCACCAAATCATACAATTGTCATTAAGCCTCATAGTAGTGCGTCAATGATGCAAGGAAATCAATTTTAAATAAAAATACTACCATTTATCTAGAGGTCTAGATATAATGATGTAACAAAACATAAGGAACCTTTGTATTTCATGTTTAAGGCTCCAAATCATTCTCAATTATCCCTCATTTATAGATTATCATTCATAATAAGGAACAAATAATGATGTTATGGACAACAAGCTTTTCAAAGGTACGTGCTATTTCAAAAGGTTCGAGGACATGTATGTAAGCAAAACTAGGACACCTTTGCAAGTCATATTCAAGCATTTCACACGACCCCACTCATCCCACAATTAAACATGGACAACCAAACAATTATCAAT